TATATATATATATATATATATACTGCGAACTTTTCAATTCATGACCACATAATTCACATCACAAATTCTAACGATTATCGAATTCCATGTTTACAAGTTGGAGCACAAACATTAACTTTGCTTCTAAACAATGCTGAAAATGAGATGGCACAAAGAGTAAAACACTTCTAATTTAGTTTTAAAAGCAAACTAAATCATTGAACGGCGATTATAAAATCATATTCGAGGTTTCAATTTAAAAAAAATTTAAGGAACGTACAAAATCACACAATTACACGCAAAGAATAGCTTGTTTAATAAATAAACATTTCCTTAACATCATTCTTCAGAATGGGAAAATAATGAGGCATATTAACAAGGCCAACCTTAAATTTGAAAATAAATGGAAGCAAACAAGCAATATCCTCAAAACATTCATTCAACATGAAAATCTAGATCTTCTATTAAATACTTCGTGATGGTTCCTTCATCTGTTCTTACTTTCATTTACCCTGACCTGAAATGGTGGAAGAGACGATAGAACACGCTGCTGCAAACATTCAGAAATACTACATAAGAATACTTAAAAAAACACAAGCAGAGATCAAACTGCAATGAAAAAATGAAAAAACGACATTATTTATAAATATATGCAGAAGTTACAGCTTGAAATGATCGTTGTACCTTGTTCATAGTTGTTTCATTCTGATGGAAAATACCAAAAGATGGACTCTGTTCTATCCTCGAATTTCTCGGACTCTTAAAAATATAATTTTCGGAATCGTGGTTATCATCTTTGACGATCCACTTCTCTTTCCAAATTTCAAAAATCTCTTAATCCCTTTTGTTACATCCATGATGGGATGAGTGGATGCATCAACAGCCACAAAAGGTCGCTCTAAACTCCCCCATTTCTTCCTCTCCCTAACGGTCTTTCCTTCCAGATATTGATTCATTTTCTGCAAATCTTCTTTAGCTGGGTCAGAGCGCTGAGAATCCACTGACGAATCAAAATCAGATACCTCGTGTAAATCAGGAAGAAAATTCTGAATTTGAGAATTACTTGATTTAGGACTTGCAACAAATTGACTTCTACTTCCAAATCTATGATATGCAGAATTCCAACTTTCTTTGCTGATCCTTGGCTTTCGATTTTCATCATTCCCTTCTTTCAGCAATTCAGTGTATTCCTCAACCTGAATTTGGGAATTACTTGATTTAGCTTTACTGATTCCTGCAGTTGGAGTTGTACCACTGCTTTTCCCGTGTAATGGCCTTTGTGCTCCACTCCTTTGAGGATTAGTATTCATTGGTTGTGTTGAAGTATCAGGATTATAATTCAGATGTATAAAGTCTTTTGGCTCACCAAGACTGACACAGTTTTTATGCAAGGATTGTGACCTTCTAGCCTTGATATCTTTGACAAGGCTCAACTTGTCATTGGAGCTCTGGCTTCGGGCAACACTCCATTGTAGGGTAGTCTCATTGCTGATTCCAGTTGATGACTTGAGGTTTTCTTTTCTCAGGGAGGCTGTCTTGAAGGAACTGATAGCGGGATTACATGCGGTTGCCGCCGAAATCCGATAAGTGGAAGAATGAGCATACTTGGGCTCCATTGTCTGTAAATCACAGTTTAATGATTTAGTATTTAATGCATATACAATTCTATGATTTCAAGATGCATAAGCAAAAAGCTGTTAAAAGTTGAGATATTTTAGTACCTTGCCCTTCTTCATCAATGTGGAAGAGGTGCTATGTAGAGTCTCCATCATTGCCCTCAACTCTGCTTCCTTCTCAGCCCCTCTAGCTCGCCATTCCTCCCTCAACTTTTCTTCTCTTTTCCTCATGTAAATATCATAGAATTGGCCTCTCTGGTCTTCCAAGACATCTTTATTGCTTTGCTGCAACAACTTGCTACCATAATTCAAGGAAGCCATGTCTTCACCGCACAGCTTGAGCTTGTATATTGCCACAAGCCTCTCGAGCTCCTCAGCCCTCAGAAAAAGCTCTTGCTTCAGTTCCATTTCTCCTGTTAACGGCCTTGGTGAAATTAACTCCATCGATTTCTTCTCAGAATATTGATTGTTCTATGGCTACAAGTTGAAGAAGAAGAAGAAGAAGAAGAAGAAGAAGAAGAAGAAGAAAGGATTTGGTTTCAGCTTTCTTCTTGGTTCTGCTTCAGTAATATCGTTGCAACTACTATGGATGATAGCGGGTTTATTAAAGGCAGAGAAGTCCAAGAGTTGACCATTTCCAGCGCTAACAGTCTTCTCGAATTCATCCGCCTCCACTTTAGAATTTGGGGCTGGAAGTCGGATTCGTTGACTCTTGTATAGGCATTATGCACCACATAAACTATCAAATTAGAATTCAATAAATCTTAATACGATATTTGCTAAGAGAAGCCGTAGAAGACCCGTAGCCAAAAATGAGTTGATGAAAAAAATAAAAATTAGGAATATTTTGGGTTAATTTTTAGGAGGATGTATTGAATTGAAGATAAATTGGCATTTTTTGAACTTTGGATACCATGGTATTTTGTAATATATCAAGTAATTTCTTACTACTGAAATATACATCATGTACATGAATGGTGTTATAATAGATGGATGATGGAAAGAAAGTTTAAGAGAAGAATTAGTCCTTGTATGTTCTTTCATTGTGTTTGAGAAAATTTAGATGATAGCTGGGGAAAGTTAAGTCAAATATTAATGGGGTGATTTGGGTTAACTTTTATTTTTATTTTTTATTTTATTTTATTTTATTTATATTTTACTTTGAAATAAAATATATTTGTTAGTTGTGATTATTTCAGAAAACACTCAAAAATTATTCTGAGTTATTTTAAATTAACTAAACTTGGTTTTAAAAAAATTAAAAACACTTAAAAAATACACCATTCAAGCATATTTTTAAGAAGAAAAGCAAAAAATAAGATTAGAAAAAAAAATGATCCAAAAAAGGCCTAAATTTCCCAAGACCAAAAAAAAAAAAAAATTAATGAACTTTAAAATTTTGTCATTTAACATTGAATAATTAAATTAGCCTTTTAAGTGATATGTCTATATTTTATAAAAGATACTAAGGGCTCATTCTTTAATGAAGTTATATACCATATTTAATAATAAATAAATAAAATTTAACATTGGTTAGATACAATTAGGCATTAGAATTGATTTTAATTTTATAAATTTTCTTTGAGTTCTAGTAAAAATGTACATTTCATTTTTGTTTGCAATGTTGAAATGAGCCATAAGAGTATGATTAATATACATGTATGTTTGGAGAGAAATTCTTTTGGCATGCTTGCACCTTAAATGACTGAAATAAATAGTATTTTATAGATTTTTAGATACTCTTTAATTTTAAAAGTCAGACCAAAATTTGTTGGTCTAAATGAATCAACAATGAATTAATTTTTTTAGCCATATTTTTCTTGGGCTAACATTCAAAAAAACTTGCTTATAAAGTTATGTTTTGTAAAACTATATTAGTGTTTGAAGATGAAATTGCTCTATGCTTTTCAACACTCTTAATTAAAACATTAGAGGATAAAAAAGTCTATAAGAACTATTCTTTTCTTTATTAGCCATTTTTTAAATACTTTTTGTTTAAAGGATGAGGGACACAAATAAGAGCCCCGAGAGATCCATGTGTGGAAGGAGCTGAAAAGCATATGTAAGTTTCCTGTTAATAGGAGTGAGAATACAGAGAAGAATGTAATGAGTTAGTGATAAAAGGTGTGACCTATAGTTTGTAGGTTTTCATGTTATATTTAACTATTTTCATGTTTATTTTGTGGTTTATATATCTAACTACTGCATTCTTGTCAAGGTGACATAAGATTCATTTGCTTTCTTGGTCTTTATGGTATTAAACCCGGGTTTTATCTTGAGGTTGGGCCTTAAACTCTACAACAAAATGATGTTGTTGAGAGAAAACATAGAAAACATATAGAAACCATTAAAACTTTACTATATGATCCTCAACTATACTCTAAGGGATGAAGCCCTTTAAACAGTATTATATCTCAAAAGTAGAATGCATACAATCTAAACTACTAAAAGTATTAGCCCTTATCAACACCTACATGGGCAGCCACCTTCATACATGCACTTAAAGGTATTTGGATGTTGTTGTGAACCATAGAGACAACCACAATCGGATCATAAACTTGCTCCTAAGTCGATTATAGGTTTCTTTTTTTTTTGGTATTCTTCAACCCATAAGGGTTATCGTTGTTATGATCACCTCACATGTATGATAATTATCTCCTGATATGTGGCTTTTAATAAGCACAATTTTCCTTATGCCCGTGATGATGCTATCTAACTTGCCTACCAGAAAAATCTCCTCTTAACATCTCTCGACTTGTATTGATTCCCACAAGCTATGCTTCTACTCAAAATTTCAAGGCAGTGGCTACATTCTTACCTACTAAGGATTCTGTTCAATCAAAAGAAATGAATTTATTCCATAAACCTAGTTTTTACTAACAATTGGTAGGATCTTGCAATATTCGACAATTACCAGACCAAATTGAACTTTTGCTATCAATTATTTATCTCAATATATGCATAAACCTACGCTCTATCCATTTCAAGACCTTACTCAAATTCTCATATAAATTCAAGGGACTCCAAGATATGGCTTTGTCATTCAGAAGAGTGACTGATAAACCTAAAATATATAGTGTTTTTATACACATTTTTATATCTATTTTTGGGATATTGAGCTTTAATGAAAGATATTTGTGTGTTTTTCTCTCATGTACAATAAAATGGATGAACAATGCTAAAATGAGTGAAAAAGGGTCAAATTTGGAGCAAAAAAGAAAAAAAAAGGTACAAAAATGAACTAGGGTGCCTAAGCGCCAGAGGCTCGCACCTAAGCGTCAGGTACCCCACGCTTAAGCACCAGAAGTAGTTATTTGATGATTCATTAAATTTAGAGAAATTTTTGAAGAGGTGTTTGAAGCAACCCTTGGTAAAAACATGGGAAATATCCCGTGGACATGAAAATTCATTCATATCTTTAGAGGATGCGGGAAATATCCCGTGGACATGAAAATTCATTCATATGACTTTAGAGGATGCAAAATGAGGAGGCAACTTCTAGAAGATTCATTGAAATGGAGACACATTTTGAATAGACACTAAGGCACCTTTTAGATTTTATTAAAGAAGACTTGGATCATCAAGACAAGGGGTCAACCTTCCATCAGATTTTACAGCAATCATCCATCCAAGTAACCGTCGCCGCCAACCACTTTCTTTTTATTTTGAGTGTTATTTTATATTGTGACTGACGGAAGAGAATTCAAAGGAACTTCAAGACATTTGATAGAGAGGATTTGAGATAAGTGTTTATCTTTGTGACTACACTTGGTTTTAATATAGATTTCTTGTTTGTGTGCATGATTTCTACTTTTAAACTCATGTGGGGTTGTGTTTTCTTCATGAATTCTGAGTAATTTTTTTTATTTTTTTCCTTAAAATGATAAGTGATTAAGTGTTTATAGGATGTTGTTTGAAGTATTAGACTTCAATGTTGGAAGAATTTGTGTTGACTTGAAACCTTACACTTCATTTACTTCTTGATTTCACCAATTAATATGTTAATACCTGTTGTAAGAACACATAAGATCCGAGATGGTATTGTCACAGTCAACAAATGGTTAAAATGACATATTGATTTCATGAATGAGAATGTAGTTCATGGGGTAGAGTGCAAATAAATAGGGAAATAAACTTTTCAATGGTGTAGAATTAAAAGACTTTAGAGTGATAGACTAAAGCCCCCAATTTGATTTATAGTTTTAGGTTTTGATATTAGATGTTAGCCCCCAGGAGGAGGGAGAAGAGGGAAATCTAGAGTGAGAGCTAGTATCTTCCCTACCTAACCGGCCTTCAAGACTATTCAAATTATAGATTAGTCAATGTTCTTTATAGCATCTCTAGTAAGGGTAACAAATATTGTTGCTCCTATTTGACATAACACATTTAAATACATCCACAATGGAATTTTCATACTTATTACTGATTCATGATAAGGAAAAAGATATTTTATTTATATAGTCTTCATCTTGAAAATATTTAGTTAAGTTAATTAGTTGCTTACTTTATTTTCAGAAATAGAAAATTATAAAAAGAATCAAATTTTCATTCATATTATAGCCTCTTAAGTTTAAGTAAGAATATTTTGTGAAGTATATTTTTGTCATCTAAAATTTTTAGTTTCCTAAACTGCATATTGTTAATCTCCCTGTGGGTTCGATATTCAGGGCTTGATTAAAAAGTCCTATATAAAGTTCTATATTACTTGATAATGATACACATACTTGCGTAGTATCCCATATTCAAATATTATAATTGTAATCTTATTTATTTCATAGTGGAAAACTTACTTAACTTTTGCTTTGGATCAAGTTTTTGACTTTGTTGCAAATAAAGAATAACTATTAAGGAAATTAAGTATATATTCGCATACATCGCATTTTAAATCTATATAGAAAGTCGGGACCAAGTTCTTAGCGTCGTTGCCTGGGAGAGTTAAAGTGCAGAAATTTAAAAAAATTTCAAAAGAGTTTTTTGAGAACGCAAATTTGAGAAAGCAAATATTTCTATTTTCATAAAGTCTTATTTAAACTTTAAGATTTATTATAGGAGTATTATAGTGTTGTTTTTATATTTTAAGTTCTTGTTTGTGTTTTTTTTATTTTATATGTATTTTATAGCAATGTATGCATAGTTCAGGTTCCACAGGACTTGTGCCCTACTATTCTGAATTAGAAAGAACTATTAAAAAAATTAAAAAATTAAAAATTACTGAAAAATTTCAAGAATTGAAAAATTAAAATAATCAAAATGTTGAAGAATTTAAACATTTAAGAGATTATGCAAACCTTACGGTAGATGAACTTCATTGTAGTATTCAAAAACCCGTTGTAGTGGCTAATTCATTTGAACTTAAACCTGTTATTATCCCAATGATATCAAATAATTAGTTTGGGGGAGCACCAACTAAGGATCCAAATTTACATCTTGCAATTTTTTAGAATTGTGTGCTACATTTAAATATGATGGTGTATCAGATGATGTTATTAGACTTAGATTATTTCCTTTCTCACTGAGGGATAAAGCTAAGAT